TTATGCTGTGTATACAGACACTGTGTACATTTTTTTTTGACAAGTAGTCCCAGTGGACTCAATGGGCTATTGAACAGGCTTGTAAATTAATTCAAATTTGCATCTTTGCTAAATTTACAATAGGCTGCTGTAATTACAATGTAATATCATTTTGAACAAGATTTACTATAGGAGCATATTATTTGGTTTATGAATTATTTGCCTAACAGCATCTGAGGTCTGTTTCATTTGCATGCAAAATAATATATATGCCCCCTTGGAAGTTTAAACTAGAGTATCTTAACAATAATGTAGCAGCTTTTGTTTTAGTCTATTGAGACAAAATGTTTTGATGCCCATTTCTTCTGTAAGAAGATGTTTGACCTTTCAGTTTGAAAGAAATTATTAAAGAAAGCCATTCCATTTCTCCTCATTCTTAACTGCATGTAAATTATTTTCCCAAACTTTTTTCTTCCGAAACAGACACTTTATCCTGATATCTAATGTCTACAGTGAAATTTGTATACTTCAGACAATATGTAATCAAAATTATCCAGTAAACTTAATATACAAATTTATATCCCAATACTATAGCGAAGTAGAATATAGTCTATAAACTACACAATATAAAAACACAATTTTGAGAATAAAAATTTCCTTAAGACATACAGGGCTCAGCTCTACAATCTTAACTCTCCTTGAGCACTGATTGTGCTAAAGTTTTACCGCTGATTTCACTGGAATAATCTAATGTGAAAATAATTGTAGTGCATAATGTGAAATGCCAGTTTAGATGGTAGACTGATAATGTATTCTGGTTGTATAGTTAGACGAGCATTGCTTCCGTCTTCCTGGACCACTGAAGCCATTTCTACCAGAAAAGGTTCCTAGCACCTTCTTGGCTCTCTGTGACTAATGATACAAAAACCATACTTTGTTCCTAATATTAGGCACATTTAATCCCCCTATATTTCTGTAGACCTACTGAATATAAATTATTTTCTGTCTAATGTACTGCAATAAATCTTGTGTTAGTGTTTACTATCTGTTTAAATCTTGTGTACAGTATTTTTCTGTAAGGGATGTAAACCTCCATTCCATCCATTTCTCCAAGTTATAAATATAAATATAGAGCAGTCTAATAAATACTTAGCAATTTAAATATACAGCCCTTTTTGTAAAAAGTCACAAAACAAAACTATTTTACCATAGTTTGTGTATGAAATGTAAGGGAAAGCTTCACAAATACAGACCCCACCATTAAAACTTCAGCCTCTCTCAGTAGTGGCCACATCATTATCTGCTGTAGCATTTGGCTATATTTAGAACAGGAAATAAATGTGGTTGCTGTAACAGTAAATGCTAATGACCGGTTCAATCAAACTCCATTTGCAGGCACTTACTTAAACAGCTGGGGGGGTTTTACTTTCTTAATTGTAAAGTCTGGAAACGGGACTGAACGGTCAGTTTTATAGATCACAAGACTGGTCAAAGTTCTGTCCTCAGTACACTTCTGATCCAGCATGAGAATTAAATGCATTTCACCTACAGGATCTTGTACGTGAAAGCAAATCAGATTTGGAAATGATCTGGAGCTGCCTCTGTCAATTCTGTTCTTTCAGTTATTCTGGTAAATTTAATACAAGTATTACAGTTTTTTAGCTAATAACTTTGTAATCCTGCACAACCTGTTGGTACAAAGAGAACACCAGGAGCTTGCTGTAACAGGAAGTAATTTTGTGTGAATGTAAAGCAGCATTATTGTATATCTTTTCTGCATCTTTTCAACTACATAGTACATTTTCTCTGGCACTGAGAAAAAACTGACACATTTCAAGTTGTACCATGATGGTGAATTTTCTCGTTATGCCAGTAAAGTAATAATGACATCATCATCTCTGCCTTGCCATAGCATTTCTCCCTCAAAGTCCACCAGACCATGCTTTCTAGCTCTCATGAGAATGCCAACAACCTTATCTGAAATACGGACGTATCTCTCAAAGAGTTCCCCAAAGGTGACCTGAATCTTGCCATCACGCTTTGGCTCAGCCATTGATGCAATAATAAAGCACATGTCTCTCATCTCCCGGTGAATATGGGCTTCCGCTCTCCTGGCCCTTTCAGCTGTTTTAGTTCCTTCTTTTGGGTAACCATAGCCCTCATCTCCTTTGTGAAGACGTGTGGACATGGCCAGTTGATAGTCGAATTCCTCACTGAATGGATTCAGCTTTTGCATTATCACATGCTCGTCTGCCCAATCTTGCCATCTGCACTTCAGATTGTTAACAGGTCTGTATTTCCTGTGGGCTTTGTTACTAAGTTCTTCTGTGAACCTGCTTGCACTTGAAGAAACAAAGAAGGTGTTTGGATTCAACACTTCATCACTCTTAAAGAAGCATTTGTTCTATTTACCTTTTTCTTTTTATTAGATGCAGCCTTTATCCAACCAAAAGTACTAACACTAGGTGGCATATTTTCACTAATTCTAACATTAGCTCTTCAGATGTGGACTGAATAAACCTGTCTCAGTGTGGTACTTAAAAGCAATGCCAGCTCAATCTTCAACAAAATACCACCTTTACTCTGTATCGGTACTTTTGGAATCAAATTTTCCACCCAACATTAGCCAAGTGCCTGTAACTCATTTTCTTCAGATCTACATCCTCCCTTAAAAAAGCAAGTTCTTTGATTCTTCTTTTATATCAGAGCCCTAGAAACTGAAGCAATATAAACTGAAGATTCAAATAATGGAAAATACAAACATTTCCCCCACAACTATTCAGGACTGAAAACCTGGAGGTCAGCATCTGAAACTCTGTTCTTTTTTCATCCATTTTGATTTGATTAAAACAACAATGCACACAAATATCAGATTAGTGTGATGAGCAAAAATGAGGAAAATAGCTTCCTTTCACTGGAGTAAACATGCTCCCCTTATCAAGTTTAACTGACTCTTTTGTAGCAGGAAGGGGAATCTCACTGAGTATTGTTCTGACACCCACCCATTCCACTCAGCTTTGTTCGTGCTTATAATGTCCGCACCCACAATGTCATTCATAGATAATGGGCCCTATCCTGAGTTGCAGTAGTATTGCACAAAGGACCAATCAGGACTCACAAGCAAAAATAGCTTGAATTCCCTGGTGCTGTTACTACCCTAAGGGGTGTTCTAAGGCGGGGGTGATCAACCTGTGGCATGAGTGCCAGAAGTGGCACAGGCAGCCTGTGTGTGTGGCAGGGCAGCAGATCATGGAGGCGGCAGGTAGCACAGTGGCTGAAAGGGCAGGGAGCAGAAGGAGCAGCAGATCAAGAAGGAGAAGGGGAAGGAGAGCAGTGTGGCATTCAGGGAGGGTGCAGGGTTAACTTGTGGCACACCTGAATACTCTAATATATTCAGCTGCAAGCCACAAGGCACCAAAATACAAGCAATACAGCCATACTCCCTTCTCTCTGATCAAGTGCCTGTCCCCTGCTAAGCCAATAGATCGGTGAAAAGTTCTTGGTTCTATGTCAGTGGAGGGCACCAAAGGTGTGATTCATTCCCATCCTCCGAATGACAGTGGAATTAGCTACCAGTGATATGGTGCAAAGTGCAGAAGAATTACACGCATAGCATTTTAAAGCACTGTTTTGCTTTCTTTGCTTAGTGATCACTGAATCATTGAAAATGAGAGAAGGGTATGAGGGAGTATATGTAGATATGTATGCATAGCAGAAAGGCACTAGCAGGAGAGCATAACAATATGCATAACTGCAGTTCTCTCAGCAAACAGACCAAATATTCCCCTATAGAAGCTAGTGATGCATAGGGGGAGAGAACACAGTGAGCTTTTCACCTTGAGTTGTTTTTCATCCTCTTCCCTGGAGGGAGCTCATGAGGCCGTGTGTGCTGACAGACATGTAGCTCCCTGCTCTAACTCATGATGCTTCACAGAAAGCACCATGAGTTAGAGCACCCCTACCCCCTTGCCCTACAGATGTTCAGTGTTTGATCGGGGGGTGGAGGGGAGCGGGAATGTCAAGCTCCACTTGGGAGCTGATCCAGCCAAGGAGCTGTCTGCCTGCAGCCTCTCTCCCCTATCCCCTCCCTCCCCTCCCATCTCTGGTGCTGTCTGCAAGGAGGGAAGGGGACTGCGCTGCAGGCTGGGGCTGGAGTTTGCCAGTTGGGGAGAGGCCTGGGAGGGGCTCCAATCCACCCACCCTACCTCCAGCTCAGGCCAGGCAAACCCCAGCATGCAGTGCACTCCCCCTCGCTCATTCCCCCTCCCTTCCTGAAGACAGCACATGGGGCAGGGCTGGGCTGCCCCAATTGTGCACAGGGACTGACAGAAGTTAATGAAGGCACTCTGCTTTGGAGTACCTTCATATGATCCCTCATTACATGAGGACTTATTTGTCGCACAATCATCCACTTTTAAAGCTCTCTGCAGCTGTGCACTTCTGTCACAGCACAGCTGTCGAGTGCTTTTGGGGAGCCGATTGCACGACAGCTGCCACTTCTGTCAGAGCCTCATGTTTTATTGCCACAGAATACAAAGGGAATTTGGTCCCTGGGACCTGTAGCTCTCCAGAGATCTTCAGAGGTTCTCTACCTTTAATCAGCTTCATTTCTACATCCCATTGAGCATCCTGACTGCCTACTTTCCCAAGATCTCAAAAAGAGAGAGATCCCTTGGTGGATCCTCCACTTGGTGGAGGAAAAAAAAATCAGGGCAAGTTAATGCTGACTGTGCCAACAGTAATTTACTCTGACAGCCTCCAGGGAGTCTAAAGGGCAGAAAACACCAAGGATAGTGGCTGTCCCTTCATCGTTATAAAGATTGTGTCCTCTCCCTTTTGTCACCTACCAGGATCCTGTAGTAGGAATCTGAGTATTCAGGGGAAGTGAAGAAGGTTATATAGCTTAACTCTGGAGTCTGGTACCAGCCTTTTATTTACTTTGTGTCTTGTGCATTTTCTCTTCCCTCCTCTGTTCCCACTTAGTTTGATCCTTTTTCAAACTGATTGCTCTGCTCACCTTTCCATTCTAGTCTCCTCCCTGGCTGCCTAGATTAGCATCACTGGATTTCACGTTTGCCTTTTAACTTCTGTTTCTGCTGTGATATTCTAGTTCTCACCATACGTATTCCACAATACATCCTCCAGTGTAACGCTACCTGCTTTGCACACTTCTTTTTATTTCTATTGTCTGCTTTTTTGAGGAGCTTCATAGTAAATACATTGACTTCTAGATGTACCTTTTTTTTTAAACTTACTCTTTGTCTCTTATTTTTGTTCAGGGCAGAGAACCTGTCTTCCTGTGTGCATTTCACATCTACCACAGTGGATTCCTGATTCAAACTAGAGCCTCTTAATACATTATAAGCAATAATAATGTGGTCTATTAGCCAGAATGTGAGCCCTAGGCAACCTTAAGAGGCTTGTTTTCTTTTGCATACTCTACATGATCATTTCCCTGGTTTCTCTGAGTGCTTAACACAGAATTTTTAAACTTTTTTTTTTATTTGTTGCAGTTTTGTATATTGCTGTAGCTGTCCTGCTTGCAGGGGCAGACTAAGTGTTATCATGCCAGACTGCAGAATTAGCATTCAGTCTACTGGGGCATTAGCCTGATTCCGACTAAAGTTACTGCTGGCATGGACGAGGGTGCTGATGTGAGAAAAACTTACTGGCACTGAGTGTTCCTTCTAACACTCAGGGGAAAATAGGAGACTGTCTCTTTTTTTACCAAATAAAGAAAGAAAGAAAGATTTGTCTGTTATTAAAAATAAGCATTTTAAAAATCCAATTCTAATAATCTGCCTTATTCTTCTAGGCAGATCTCAGTAAGGCAGAGAGAGATAAGTAATATAAGAGGTGCTACTGGAGTCATTTTCACCTCAGTCAATATTAATTTTCCCTTCTGCTAGTTAACTGCATTAATGTTAGATGTATGAGAAAATATTTGAAATGTTCAGCTGACTACAGCAGAAAGATAGGTACTTTTTGCTACAGTTATATTTTATTTTTGCTAATACATTTATTTTAATTTGTTTGGGTTTCAACTAGAGCTGGCCACATTATTCTTTGCAAATAATATCCCTTGCAAATCTACCGTTTATTCACTAAGTTTGTGAATTCTCCACATGCACATCCTGATTTTGAGAATGGACAATTCACATCTACTTTCCAAATACAATGCATGATCAGTTTTCAGCCTCTAAGTTACCTGAGAACTGTTTCATATTGACTATTAGCCATTTACTATTTATGGGATTGGTCACCTGTGTAATAGGGTATTGTTCCGCTCCTTGGTTTGAATAATTTAAATAGAAGACTGAAAAATAGTTTATAAAGCCCTTCTATTATGAATTTTCAGCTATTTCTTTGTGCAAAAAGATGTGAAACACACGGACCTTTTAATGAGTAGCAGTTGGTTGTGCTAAATACCTCTGGATAACTAAACGCATGGCCCTAGCTACAGCAATGATGCAGAATCTATTTCCAGACATATCCATGAATCTGTTCTGGCATTACTCCGTCAGCTCTAGTTTCAATTTTTGAAATGGTGATGAGAATGCCATATGAACCCACTGGCCTGAATCTCTCCTGTCTCAAAATCTTGCTGCTCCTTTACATTTATGCTAAGAGAATTTAAAGTGGGTGGAAGAACACTGCGGTTCTCATTTAACAGTGCTTTACACTCAACTTGCACTTCCTTGGCTTTGGTAGAGATGACAACTTGTGATAGGTTGTGGAAAATGAGACCCTGCTGGGTGATAATGACTTCTAACAGCAAAGGGCACCACTACAGAAATGTTTCCTCCCTCGGGGAAACCTAAAGCAGAAGGCAAACTCCATGAAGGATCCACTAAAGGATCATCATTAAAATGGTGGAGGAACGAGCATTACAAAAGTCTAATTCAGAGACTCTGAAGTGTCTTGTATTGGGATTCTCTGGGTTTGAGGACACAAGTTACCATGAGACACAGTAGGGCATGCGGATCAGTTATTCCACGGTAACTGTCCATGTGACATCTTTTGCCCTGTTGTAAATGTGTGGTAGCTTCTCCCTCAGTGAAACTGAGATTAACTACCTTGCATTTATAGCAGACATGCAGGCACTTACTACAAATTCACTCCCTGGCTTTCCTTGCACTAACTTTTTTGCCCAGCACTTAAAGATTAACATGGTAAGTAACTGAAAGAGACCTCTGGGTCATTGAGTCCAATCCCTGCTATTGTAGGCAACTCTATCATAAACATATTTCACAAATTTATCCATCTTAAAACTTGTTATGATTGTTTCCTTCTGCTACTTCTGTTGGAAGGGACTTACATTTCCAAAATCATGTGACTTATTTTACAGCTTAAGGCCCATCAAAATTGAATTAGACTTAAGCTTTTATGTGAGTTAGCTGCATTTGAGGCTCTAACCCTTAAATACCTAAATGCTACCAACTTCTGTGGGAGTCCGAAACCAAGGTCCACAGCCATGTAATAGGGCATAGACTTTTTAACCTTGATTCAAAGTTCCCTAGGCATTTGGAGCAGTCCAGAAATTATCCTTTGGGTTTTTTTATTTATTTATTTTCTGTTGCTCTATTTCTACATCATTTCTATTATTATATCCATAATTTAGCACAGCCCATGCAGCTCTACAAGTTTCGTGATTCAAAGGTTACAACTTACTCATGCTTGCATGCTTTCATGTGGAATTCTTTAGCAAAACCAGGTGCTCATTGCAACGCATGCTTTGTACCAAGTATTTTTTTTCATTATACTTTATTTTTTGCAGTGCTTTTTGCTTTGTTGATTTTTTTTTTCTGATAGAAAAATGACTATACATAGGAAGGGCAGGTTGCAGTCTAAGTCTCTGTAGTCTACTTTTACAGATCTCAATGGGAGACCTCCTATGGAGTTTTTTGACTTCAGCACATTTGAGATGTTCAGCCAGAACCTATTGCTTCTATCGGAGCTGCTTTGTAGGTAAAATCCTGCTTATACTGAAGTGAGTGGGAGTTTTGCTACTGATCAAGTCTGGATTCAAACATCTCAATTATTTGGTAACTCGAGTCCAAAATTAACAAGCAGTTGTTGTGTGTAGTCTGCAAACTGGAATCCTGACACATGAATAATTCTTAAAGTTCAGTTTGGTGCTAAGATTTAGACTTGCTTTTTAATTCATATATTTAAAAAGAGTGTTTAATAGGCTGCAGTTCTTAAACTAAATAACAGATTCTGTTCCTGGTGTTTTCCTCCCAGCAGATTACAAGAGATCTTCCTACAGGTCAGGTTGTTTCTGAGGATGAAATGTTATTTTGTAACATTTGATGATAGTAGTTTTCTGACTTGCTGGGGATTTCACAATTGACAATTCATACTTGGTATTGAATTCAGTAGATGAATACCAAACATATTGTATCTGTCTTGACTAAATATCCCAGTAAGGCCAGTTCCCAGTCTCTGAGTTATAACAGATGTTTACAGAAAAAAATCCTATTTTCATAAATGCTCAAAATATGCTTGGCTTGTCCAGAGTGGCTTTAGATTTTACCAGTACTGAGCATGCAGACCCTAATTTAGAAAAACACCAAAGCAAGCGCCTGACTTCAAGAATGGGTTGTAGTCCACTGCTATTCAATGAAGCAGTTAAGGGCAGATAGTTACATGCCTACATTCCTTGAAATCAGTGGGACAAAGGTCCATAGGTACCCTACAGTAATCTGGCCCTTAAGCGTATGCTTAAATACTCTGCTGAACGGTGGTCAAGAAAGGGCCAGATGTAAGAAGTGAAAGGTTAAAAGTGAATTTGATTTGAATCTTGTGGGTTTTATTTGAGGAAGTATTTACAAACACTCATTCTGCAGCATGTGCCCAAATCTAGTGTCTAGCACAAGAAATTTCTTGAAGTAACTGGTGGCTCTGGGCATATAATTAGCCAAAGAGGCAAGTACTGACTCATGAAACTCTAAATCCTTGGCAGTGTCTGACACTGAAACCTCAAATTGCTGCTCCCTTTTGAAAACTACAAGCCTTATTTTTGCTTTAAGCAACAAACTCGTACCAAAGCTAAGTACAATTAGCATTTCCTACATGGAACTTGCTGCCTGTTTTAGAAATACTTGTCCTTTCAATTCATGCAACAATTCATGCAATTTGTGCTAGCCAGTTCAGGTGGGAGACAGAGAAAAAAGGAAGGGAGGGCTGTGTTTTTCCTTTTTCTCCTTTCCTTAAAACTTGATAGTTTCCCTTTGGCCTTTTCTTAGTCACAGACATTTTCTTCTTGCCTCCCCTCTCCCTCAAGGAAACTCAGACCTGTCTCTGTTACCACTGCCCACCAAGGTAGCACCCAAGGAAGCGTGTGTTTACTTACAGTGATGCCATGGGTCTTTTAATTCTCACAGTGGTCACCTTTTCCTGGTCACTGTCTTCTTGCTCAAGCTGATCCTCTGCTTCCCCCCAGTAGCCACTGTCTTCTGTATCTATGCTGTCATTTCGGCACTTCTGCAGCTCTGACTCTTGAACTTTGTCATCTTGTTCCATCAGTCTCCAGCCCTTGGTCAGTTCTGACACCAGATTTGAGCACTTTCTCCTTCTTGTAGGAGACATTTTGCCAGCGAGGGTTTTATCGATAGCACTCAGTTCCTCCTTGTACCAGCCTGTTTCAGAGCTCTCATTATCTTTCTCATACCTATTACTGAGGAGGCTAATGTCATTCCCTTTTTCATAGAGTTTACTTACAACTGTTTTGGTCACTTCTTTGCTTTTAATGTTGAGCTTCCTCAGAGCCTCATCAGATTCACTTGAATCTTTTTCAGCATCCCCTTTTGTCACTGACTCCTTTGTTTGGGATTCTTCCTCAGCCTTCCCTTGGCCTTTCTTAGCAGAAACTGGCCATCTTGGGGACAATCTTTTTTTTGGTGGATCAGTTGTTTTTTCTTCTGCATTGGGCACCCACCCTGAGGGCTCCTGAGCTTGCTTTGTGTTGTGATCATTTGCCCACTGCTGCCACCCTCGTGCTAAGCTGATGACAAGGCTGGCAGTTCGGAGCTTTTTGATAGCCCTTTTAGCGGTCGTAGCTCTTGGTTTTTCTTCTGGAGGCATGTTGTCTTTTGATGCTGGTGGTGCTGCTTCTCTGCCTTGTATGTTAACCACCTAGTGAATGAGCTTCCTAAAGTGAATAGCTTCCAGAAAACAGATCTACAGGGATTTAAATAGATGCAGGAGGGAGTTAATGATATTGGAAACTATGTGAAGCATTTCTCATGAAGATACAGTACCCTTGCTATGACAGCGTTCTTTTTTTAAAACCTCAGGGCTTGCATTTCATCACAGTGTATTGACACTGGAAAAGGTAAACAAGGGTGACACAGTCTGCATACACTTTTGCAGCAGCTCTGGTGGACTTTACCAGCTGCTGTATTTCCTCTCCTAGGGGGCTGTTCTGTCCTCAGTTTGTTTGACACTAAACTTTTAAAGAAGTGTTTGACTTGTGGCAAAGATATTTCACAGAAAGCTCAATCCCCAAGATATTGAGCCACATAATGCTATGTATGAAATTTAGTCTCAATCCTACAGTGTTAACCCAGATGTTTCATGAGGATATGATAGTTTAGATATACTTTCTGAACAGATTATTTTTAATAATCACTTGCATCACAAGCAGGTCCGGGGAGGTGATCCTCCCCCTCTACACAGCATTGGTCAGGCCACAGCTGGAGTACTGTGTCCAGTTCTGGGCCCCGCACTTCAAGAGGGATGTGGCTAGTATTGAGAGGGTTCAGAGGAGGGCCACTTGCATGGTCAGGGGGCAGCACAGCAGGCCCTACGAGGAGAAACTAGAGGGACTGAACCTGTTCACCCTCCACAAGAGAAGGCTGATCCCCATCTGGTGGCCGTCTACAAATTCACCAGGGGGGATCAGCAGGGAATAGGAGATGCCCTGTCCCCCAGGCACCACATGGGGTAACAAGGAATAATGGCCACAAGCTGATAGAGAGCAGGTTCAGGCTAGACATCAGGAGGTATTACTTTACGGTTAGGGTGGCTAGGACCTGGAACCAACTTCCAAGGGAAGTGGTGCTTGCTCCTACCTTGGGGGTCTTTAAAAGGAAGCTGGATAGACACCTGACTGGGGTTATATCACCCCAGCATCCATTCCTGCCCAAGGCAGGGGGACAGACTTGATGATCTGTTTAGGTCCCTTCCAACCCTAGCTACTATGATACAGGTTAAACCCAAGGAAATCCAGTAGACATTTAATTATTCAAGGATTTTATCCATTATATTGGCATCTATCTGTTAGTGCTTGTCTGATTTATCTCATAGGCACTGGAAACATCTCCTATTATATGATTCAACAATACCTAGTACAGTGAGACCATGACATTTGATCAGGGCTTCTGGATGCTACAAATACTAATAAGAAATCTAAGATTTAAAAGATACAAGATGTTGCCTCAAGAGTTTCAAAAGGTGAAACTCTTCTTATTCCTGAAATCATATATTACCTGATGATGCAGATAAAATCCAGCACGACTTTGGTCAAAGTATAGGAGGAATTAAACCACCAAGGAAGCAGTTGCAAACTTTTGTTTGAGAAAATGATATTATACAACAATACACAACAGAGATTTCCTTGGATACAGTTCAGGGATATCTTATTTCATACTATGTTTCCAAAGTAGAAAACGAAAATAGCTTCACTTTTTCCATCCAGAATACCTAACAGTTTGCAGGAGGACCTCTGGTACTTTTCAAATGACACAAAGGGGCATATTCACACATGAAGCAATTCCATTGGCTTCCATGAACTTATACCCAAGATAAATCTGGAATTGTACAAAGCCCTGCTGGTAAATAATAACGAGCACTACCCCGATCCAAATGAAGGGAGTTGCTTGCCTTTGTCCTTAATTATATTGTGCCATTGGTTTTTAGGCAGAATTCTTCATTAATCTAATTAGGAGCATTTCTTCAAAACTGATAGAATGACATACCCCATTGTTAGTACTTAATACTGACCATATTGTATTCTCAAAAGAAACACTATCCTGTATAACTTAAATAATTATAAAACCTTATAGTATTTTTGCTTCATCATGAAGCTTAAAAGGCATTATGATTTATATTGATACAACTTTCTTGAGGAGTTGTAGCATAGTGCCTAAGGGCAAATCAAGGAAGGGAGTTTCCGTATTGACAGAATAGCAGTTGTGTCCTGTCCCAAGACATTTGCAATCAGAGTGGGCAGGACAGGCACTTGGAGAGAGGACTGGATATAATACAAAGGCAGAGTCAACAGTGTGATGGTAACAAGCTTTTTTCATTTCCTTGATTCATAAAGCGAGAAGGAAGGGTATTGATGAGAAGGAAGCTAAATGGAAAGGGAAAAAATGGGAAAGTTGTGAGGGGGCAGGGATGCAGAGGGTCAGAGCATCAAGTATGGAGTGCAGTTGAGGTGACAAGATTGAAGGAGGGGAATGACTGGTGTAAACAGCCAATCAACACAGGGCAGAGAAAACCCAATCAAAACTGGAGAAGGTTTCTCTGAATGGCCAGAGGTTCTTCTTGTGGCTGCTTTTGCTCCATCTGTCTTCCCCCAAGACTACATGACAAATACTGCTTGGGTCTTTTTCACCCCATACTTTGTGTATGTGGTCTACTTTATACAGTTCTGGGCCTGGTACTACAGGGTAGGATGCTTGTGAGTGATGATATACTTAGTTAGTTAACATACAGGGTAGCACTCCTTTTTTTGGCTGCTTATGTTCATACTGATGGGAGTGACTTTTACTTATTACCTAGAAGAATATAATGTTTTTGAATATTGTCTTACTGCTAATAATTAATGCTTTACATGTATATAATAACACAGTTAGCCAGAAAGATACCATAAGGGTTATGTTATAGGGTTTCTCTTAAATAGTAATGTTACCACCCTAAACAAAGATAAGTTGAACTACAGGAATGTGAAACTGAAAAGGACCTTCTGGGTCACCAAACCTAGTGCCCTGATATCAGGACTGACTACGTTGCTCATGTATTTATATTCTGATCATAAATTTAACTAACTCCATCCTAAAACTCTTTAGGTTGTTTGTCCCTCCTGTTATGAAATCCTGTTCTAGAACCTCACTTCTCCGATGGTGAGAAACCTCCTAATTTTGCTTAAATTTATCTATGGCTGTTCTTTTCACTCACTCCTTCTTTTAGTTTTTTGCAACAAGTTGTGTGTTACTGTGATCAATCATCCTAGTAGCCATTCTCTGTACCTGTTCTAGTTTGAGCTCATTTTTCTCAGACATGAATGACCAGAGTTGTACACACATGATGTTTCAACACTTCCTTGTATTTTGGCATAAATGCTTCTCAATTTCTACTGGAATTACTTTGCCTGATACATCCTAGGATTGCTCTTGTCTTTTCCATAGTTGCAACACATTGGTAGCTCATAGGCATCCTCTAATCCAGGAGTTTTCAACCTTTGTGGATCAATGTACCCCTGGTGGCTGGACACGGAGCAGTGTACCCCCAGCAGCCAGACACGGAGCAAGGGGAGGGGTGGCACGCAACTGGATGCAAAGCGGCAGGAAATCCTGGTATCAAAGAAAACACTCCAGAAAAAAACAGTGCAGGGTGTGTTCCTGGCACATACTGCAAAGCAACTGAAGGCTGGGTCCACCAAAGAGATGCTCTAGCACCTGGCCAGAGCATCTTTATGCCCGCTGCAGGCCCCTGCTGCTCCAGCATGCTACCTCAGCATTGATCTGCAAGTGGCAGTCACATGCAGGCAGGAACCAGCCCAGCCTGATGCCGCACAGCTCCTGCACGCAGTGCGAGGAACCCCGGGTGATGGCAGGAGCCAGCCTGGTCCTGCCCAAAGGTATGTGCCAGTGGACTGGACTGGCACTGTGTGCCACATGTAGCCCCCAGGTCTAGGGTGGTGCCATGCACTGCTGGGGGCCTCTGTCTGCAGTGGGCTATGAGCATCCCAAGGGCCCACTGCTGACTGCTTCTGCTGTGGGGGGGGGTTGTGTGCCATGGGGAGCAGGCAGGGGACCCCCACCTCCACACAGCCTCCCCATCTCCACCCACAAACCACCCACCCATGAACTCCTCACACCTCCACCCACACCTCCCCACAAAACCTATCCCCACAAACCCCACATCCACACCCCTACACAAACCTCACCCCTACAAATAACATCCATATTTCATGACAATTGTTAAAGAATATTTATTTAATTATTCCAGTTTTAGTTGCTATTATAACTTGTCAAATTTCCCTGTGAGGTGTATATATTGCAGGCATTCTGAGAGTACAGATATTTAAGCTGATTAATTTTACATACAGATATTTAACCTGATTAATTGTACAATGGTGTTGTCTAGAATGGATCAGATGTTGATTTATTTAATATGACAATGCTCTGAAAGATAAATTATAGCTCCAAGGTGCAACTTACTGCTCATAGCACTTAAGTCCACTTCCACATCTGCTGCTGAGAGCACCAGGAGGCACCCCCATGCCTCCCTGACTTGACGATTGGCTGCGGGGGGGACCCCAGTTCCTCCCCATGCCCAGGAGGCATGAGTTGCCAAGCCAGGGGGACACAAAGGAGCTCCCCTGTGCGCTCCGCAGCAGACCTGGAAGTAGACCAGAAGTGCTTCTGGTCCATTTCTGGGTCTGCTGCCAAGCACATT